AATGTTTAAAAACGTGCTATGTGATTCTGGAGCTTGTCTTAACATGATGTCCAAGGCAATTGCTTTGAGACTTGGTATTAAACACCTGCGCAGGACTAGAGCAAAGATTAGTCTAGCTGATGATTCAAATGCAACACCTCAAGGAATAGCTCATGAAATTCCTTTGAGAATAGGAGATTGTGCCTGTCGACTTCTATATTGTCGAGACGAGAGATGCAACATATCCAGTGATTCTCGGATGGTCTTTTCTAGCAACTTCCGGAGCTATAATGGACTGGCCAAACCAGAGGATTTCATTTGCTAATATCGACAAAGATGTCTTCACAGAAGCTGTCCCATACAACAGCAAAGCAGGAAAACGTTCTGCAACAGAAGAGTTTGAAGAAGAACTTTGGAGTGACGAAGAACCTGCTAGGCAAAGCAAGGAGATGTTGAAAAAGACTTGTCTCAGGACAAGGTCTTCTTCATTGGAATAAGCTACGTCCAACACCAAAAGTCGAGCTAAACGACTTAAAACAGAAGCGCTTAATGGGAGGCAACCCATTTAGGTATTGTTTTCTTTAGGATTTTTCTTTCTTTTTCTATTGATCTTTTTATTTTTCTTAGTTTCAGGTGTTTCTTATAAAACAAAAAAGCCAAAAAAATCAAAAAACCCGAAAAAACCAAAAAGAAGGATGGTACCTGACTGCTCGGCCCAGCAGGAACCAAGGAGAAGCAGGAAGAGGCCGCGAAATAAGCCCCCGCGGTCGCAGACGTTCTGACCGCGGGAAACGCCTCTTCGACCGCGGTCGCGTCTTTCTGACCGCGGCCAAGCACCTGTTTACCGCGGTCGTGTGTCTCTTGACCGCGGCAAATGGTCGTTGAGATCAAACCCAACCCTAAACCACCCACTTCACCCCATTCCACATCACCAATCCCCACTCCACCTCATTCATCACTTCCCACCACCTTCATCACCACCCATCACCTTCCCAAACCTCTTCGAATGAATCCGGTTCATCTCCACCAGCATCCTGGATCCAGGTAAGTTCTCTTTGTCCTTACCAATTCGATTATCTATGCATTTTTTCTCATCCAATCTCGACTTGACTGAAGACAGTGTGATTTAAGTCTGGGGGAGGATTTCATCCTTTTCTAATCACTTTTCTTTCATGAGTCTTGCATTATCTACACTTTTTGCATTTTCCTTAAAGTTTTTCAAAACCAGTTTCCAAAACAAAATACGTTTTTAAAGGGAATGGTGAACATGAATCAATGATAGTTGACTGTGTGCTTTTAGACTGTTCCTAGTGACATGCTCATTCACGATTTAGGACTAGACTAGGCGGTAGCTAAGCACATTTGAAACGAAGTACCCCAGAGGAATTTGAATGATTTCGATTTAGATGAAGGGATACACTAGCTCTGTTTTATTTGGACTTAATTTGGACTTAATTTTCTCATTGAAGCATTAGACCAGGGAAACGAATCATACATTCAGGACTCCTTTATCATTTTACCACTCTCTGTTGATCCTGAATAGCTAGTTCATCTTTAGCTAGTTCTCCACCTTAACCAGTCCTCTTTCAAACCACATGCACTCTTGTTTTCTATTGTCTTATATGCAGATAAGTGCAAAAACGTTGGAGAGAAAGAGGAACGACGCAGTTTTCAGTCACCAAGGACAGAGACCTGCGATTTGCCGGAAGAGTTCCCGGAAGGATCCAAAAACAAGAGAAAGCTCAGTTTTCCTTAGAAAAATCTCAAATTTTGGTACAATCTCGTCCTCTAGTCTCTCTCTTTAAAAGGCATTTCCGTTAAAAAAAAAAAAAAAATCCAAAAATAAGAAAAGAAAGGAAATAAAGGCCTTAGAGAGTCTAGAGAGGTCGAATTTTAAGTCCCAAGGCAACTAGAGTCTGATTTTATGGAGTTTTGGAGATCATTTTCTGATTCCCGGAAAGAATCTAAGTCTGGGGGAATAGCTATTTACAACAAAGGAGGAAGGATTATGCAACAACATTTGGCAAGAAGAAGTGACTGAAAATTGCGGTCATCAACAGGTCCTTATCTCTCTTGCGGTTTTGCATATTATCTTGCATCCTCCAGATCTTCAGGTAACACGAAACACTTTAACTCCACCACTTAAACAGCCCTTTAATGCCAAATGCGGTCTACCCTGGATGATGTCTTTAATAAGAACTCACTATTGAACTTAATGAATGTAGAGAGCTAGTTGACTGGAATCAAGATTTAGATTGTTTAAGTTTTGCATGACGGAAAAAGTGGACTAGTATTTTGATAACACCGTATTTTGACCATCTTTATGGATCGTTTTGAAATACTTTTTCTATGTTTTTATTGCTTTTAAATACTTTTATTACGTTTTTCTAGTATTTGTAGTTCCAAGACTCTTCTCAGGTAACTTAGAGAAAAGCTTAACAAAATGGATAGAAAACCAAATTTCAGCTCAGAGTCAAACCGTCAGAAGTGCACCCCTGATTGAAGGCCTTCTCACCGTCTGATCCAGCTCAAATTTAGAGATCTTAAAGATGGAAGTATCAGCTTTCCAGCACACTTTACAGCTTGGCAATCCAACGGTTCAATCAAAAGATACGCGAAGAGCAAGATGTCACGTAAACCAGCCGGCAAGCATTTTTACCCGCAGCCAACAAGCTATTTCCCCGGTCAGAAGCACTGCGACCGCGGCCAGCCATCCATTTCCCGCGGTCACAGCCATCCCGACCGCGGCCAGCCAACTCTGAGCCCGAAGGCCCATTTCCGAAGCCCACAATGATTCCCTCATTTGGAGAAACCCTAAGTGACGTCCAGAGATTTCTTGAGCACTATAAATACATGTTTTAGGAACCCTAAAAAGAGAAGAACCGAATCATTACCTCATATTTTTCTTATTGTTTTTACTTTAGCTTTTAGGGAGAGAGAGATTTTTCTCTTGAACCCTTGTTCTTTCTTTTTCAATTTCGGTTTCTATTCTACTTATTAATACTATGTTTTTGATTTCGTTCATTATGTCTGAGTAGTTTTATTGTTGGGATTAAGGGATTTTCGATGGGGACTTATATGTTCGATGAAGATTCCATGAGCTTTTGAGCTGAATCTTAGAATTTTTTCTTCTGAATTCGTTTTTACTGCATGAGAGTAGCGTCATGAACTACAATCTGATCCAGATGCTTGGTGACATGAAAGTGTTCATCCGGTGTCAGATCTAGTTTGGGAGAGCAAAACAAACATAGGAGTGGAAACCTACCTATGTGCGATTTGTGAATGCTGATGAGTCTTAAACATAATGCATCTCTTCTTTTCCAGGGCCAGAGTGGAAACCTACTGGTCAGGGTTGAGAGAGATAGTTGTCTATGATCACGACAGTGGCGTATTCATACGTCCGTGACTCCAGTTCGAAAAGTTTAAGCTAAGACCTTATCAATTTTACTCTCTAGCAACGTTTTAAATCGTTCGTACCCCTGAGAAAACTTCCCTGAACCCCAATGCTTTCTTCCTTATAGATTTACACCGTTTTTATTTCAAGCTTTAGTTCAATATTCTCATTCCTTTTTAGTTAATTTTCATTTAAGCAATTAGAATATCCGTTTTTCTCGTTTTTAATTTTCGTTGAGTTTAGTTATTAGGCCATTTAAATCCCGTAGTTTCTTTTTAGATTTCGTGTTTACATTTTAAACACACCACCAAAACCCCCACAAAACTGTTTGGTTCTAGACTTCCTTACTTTATATTTCTTTCAAAGGCTTTTGCAGGAAAAGATCCTCCTTCCTTGTGGATTCGATCCCTAAGTACTACAATTGATCAGCTGTGCAGTTGCGGCTATTGATTTCATTTAGCGTAAAACTTGACAACCCTCACACCGACGACACATCATGCGTTTCAAGCAATGTGGCAAATTCAAGAGAAATACTTGACAATGAAGGCACAAATCAAGAAGATGGGTATAATTGAATGTCTTTTAGCCAAGCAAGGGCCACTATCAGACTATGAGGAAGATGTAAAGAAGAAACTCATTACTGAGTTGTTTTAGATTGGTGTTTGTGTTTAAGTTTAAGTTTATGTTTCTGTTTTTGTTTTTGTTTTAGCTTAAGTTGGTGTTTGTTTTTAAAATTGGGTCTGATATTTTGGTTTTAGCTTGTTTATGAATGTTGTTGTGTTATGAATGAACCGGTTTCTTTATCTATGAACTTTGCTTTTAAAACTTCAGATGATGGCTCTCTTTGCTCTTTGCTCTTTGCTTTAAGTATGAGCTTAAGATGATTAGGTCTAAAGATGATGGCTCTCTTTATCTATGAACTGGTTTTGATACTCAAAGATGATGAGCTTAGGTATGAGCTTAAGATAAAACTTAAGATGATGAACTTTTGTTTTAAGTATTAACTTTGCTCTTTGCTTTAAGTATAAACCAGTTTTACCCTTGTTAAAATTATGATGAAGGCTCATTATGTTTGTTTTTTTTTTGTGTGTTTCAGATTGGAGATGTGTGTGACAGATAGTTTCCACTAGGTAGAGAACAATTATTGGATTTGGGTCGGCACAAAAAACCAAACGAGTTGTCACAAGTCTGGTTAATCGATTTGCTTGTCTTTTGTTTTTTTGTTCTCAAACCACAAAGTTCTTATCTCATTTTGAGACCACAAAATGTATAAACTATTTTACACCACATGTATAAGTTTTAGTCGTCTATTTATAGTGAGTAATAAGCACTTGTTGTATCATATATTCATCTTGTTCTCTTTACTTCTGTCTTTTTATCGTAAGTTCTCTTTGATTCCCAAAAAAACATCAAACAAGCTTTTACTTTGGTACCAATCAAAGTTTAAATTCTCTTCCTTCTTCTTTGATAGCAAAACAAGCATCCTCAAAGTTTCAATTCTCTTCCTTTTTCTTTCATAGTTTCAGGGTTTTCCTTCTTCTTTCATAGTTTCAATTGTCTTCCTTCTTCTTTCATAGTTTCAATTTTCTTCCTTCTTCTTTCATATCAAATCAAATTCCAAAAAAAAATGGCTTTTTCTTCCAACAATGACTTTAATGGACCAGTTAATGAAGCTTTTGAAGAAAAGTTTGAGCAAATGTTCGATCAAGCTTTTCAGAATGTTTTGAATTATTATGGCGATCAACATGAGACAACCAAATCAAGGAAAAAACAGGCTTTTATCGAAAGAGATCGTGAAGAAGGCCACAACCGGTTATAGAACGATTATTTCAGTGAAACTCCAACATATCCGGCTAATTACTTCCGGCGACGTTTTAGGATGAACAAACATTTGTTCTTACATATAGTTGAAAAACTTTCCAATGAAGTATGTTACTTCAGACAGAAGAAAGATGCTCTCGGAAGGTCTGGTCTCTCACTGCTTCAGAAGTGTACAGCAGCCATTCTTCTATTAGCATATGGTACTGCGGCTGATAGGGTTGACGAATACCTCCGTCTAGGTGAAACAACTGCTCGTGCATGTTTGGAACATTTTGAAGAAGGAATTGTAGATTTGTTTGGTGATGAGTACTTAAGAAGACCCACCCCAGAGGATCTTCAGCAATTACTTCATATTGGAGAGCTACGGGGATTTCTCGGAAGCATCGATTGTATGCATTGGGAGTGGAAGAATTGTTCAACCGCTTGGAAAGGGCAGTATTCACGTGGTTCAGGAAAACCCATTATCGTTTTAGAGGCGGTAGCTTCATATGATCTGTGGATATGGCATGCCTTTTTTGGACCTCCAGGTACCTTAAACGATATCAATGTTTTTGATCGCTCACCCGTTTTTGATGATATAATACAAGGTAAAGCTCCGAGAGTGAATTTCTCTGTCAACGGAACGGAGTATAAGTTAGCATACTATCTCACAGATGGTATCTATCCAAAATGGACAACTTTTGTCCAATCTATACTACTTCCACAAGATCCAAAATCATGCTTATTTGCTGAACATCAACAAGGTGTCCGAAAAGATGTCGAACGTGCTTTTGGAGTCTTACAGGCTTAATTTGCCATTTAAAAATCCTGCTCTTTTTTGGGATAAAGCAAAAATAGGAAAAATTATGAGAGCTTGTATCATACTCCACAATATGATAGTAGAAGACGAAAGAGAAGGATACAGACACTTTGATTTTTCAGATTTCGAACATGGAGAAGGAAGCGGAAGTTCAAATGTGGATCTCTCGTATTCAACAGATATGCCCTCAAACATTGCTGATATGATGGGTACTCGAAATGATATTCGGGATAAACCACGACATGATCAATTGCAAGCTGATTTGTTGGAGCATATCCGGCAAAAATTTGGGACGTATTGAAACCGACAATTAAGTTTCTATTGCAAAATTTAAGTTTATAAATCAAATGTATGTTTGTGTTGGTTTAAAAATGTAATAATCTAAGTAATTATCTTTATTTTCATTAAAAAAACTTAATTTATTTTTTGGTTACAAGAAACCCAATTAAGTTTCTCCCAATAGACCATTAAAAAAACATGGTTTCTTGAAATGGTTTCTTGCCTCAAATCAATTCACAAAATAATGATAAGAAACCCATTAGAGTTAATAGCAATAATCATGCTCTTAGGATTTCAGAATTGGGATTCTTCCAAAACATCTGGAGATGGGATGCCTTGGGGTTGTGAAAGAAAAAAGATTTTGCTTTGAAGCAGACGCCATTGTCAAAGGTGTAGAGAAGGTTCTTCCAATACTCTTGATTATGAAGCCAATGCCATGTTCGATCAGTCTGGGCTTTGCCAATTTGGTGGTCTTCGATGAATTAAAGTGAAGATTTTGAGTTTAATTTAACCTTTAACCAAGAAATTAAGAAATAGTTGGGAGTTTAGATCAGACGTGTTGCTGTGGTTTTCTTGTTTTTAATTCACAAAATAATGATAAAAAAGGTCAAAAATTACCAAGGGATAGAAAAAAACTCCATAAGAGCAGCATTACTATCATTCTAAGAACCAAGAGGAGAAGGTAGTGAGAAATTGTTCAGCAAAAATGCCCCTAGTTGGATATGATCCCATGAAGAACGAGTACAAATTCATTCGTACAAAGTTCTGTTTTCTCATAGAGCTTGAACATTGAAAAAAATTTCTACAAATTAGAAGAGGTTGATCATCAAGTCTAAGTAAGTTACTTGGGAAAACCTGTTCGAAAAGCCGATCTGAATATTGTTTATGTTCACCTAAATTCCACACTCAAAAATTAGTGTATAGTTTTTGGATTAGGAATTTATAACTATAGACCAGATTTGTCGATTGAATATAGAAATGCTTCAATAATCCGAGCTGTTAGTATAATATCTTTAACTTTGACCAGATATTTCAAAGTTTGGAGTTTGGAATTCGCCAGATTGCACGTGCGAGGTAACACTTAGTTAGTCTGCGAATAGCTTGATGAATTGATTCCTGTATTTTGAGCCGATTATTAATATGACTAAATTTCAAATATTTATTTATAATTTAATTAAGGGCTTTATGGGTCAGCGTGATGTGAGAAATCCAGCTTCCTTTTTTTTGAACATCTTGCCATTAATAAAATTAACCAAAGTTTGGTACAGGCGCATTAACTAAGACACGTTTTGCTAAGGAGTCTGCAGCCATATTTGCAGATCTCGGGATAAAATTGAAGCTATCGAATTAAACGAAGCAGCGAGATTTAGGATATCCTGAAGTAATGGCTGAGAAGCCATAAATTAGGAAAAAAAAATCTCTTGTGCCACAAATGAGTCTGAGTGCCATAATAGGTGTGATATGCCCATTTTACCCTTAATGAAGGGAGATGATGGCATTCTTGAATTGTGATGAATTTTGGTGTTTTTTTAAAAAAATCGAGTTAACTGAAAATTGAAAATTGAAATCGAAAAACCAAACCAACAAATCAATTTCGGGTATTATCAGAATTTCTGGGTATATTGAACCGAAAATTAGGGAAATCAAAATCTTCATCCCGCGTATGTAAACCCTAAAAGCTCAAACAAAAACCTTAAACCCAGATATCGATCGATCTGCTCGAATCTTGTAAACTGTTGCTTATTTTCGTTCGTAGCGGTGCGCCGGCGTCCTCTGAAGTCGGGTTATTCTCCGTAACTCATTTCTCCTCCGCCATTTCGCTTTAAGGTGAACATATTCTGTATTTTGGGGATTTTTCAATTTTTCAATCGATTTGTCAATTTCGGTTTGTTTAGGTTGCACATTGGATAGTTTAGTTATTTATATAGGTTGATTTAGTTTTCTCTGTGTTAAAATGTAACGTGGTGCGGTAGAATCGATTTGAATCGAGCTGAATCGTACAAATAGTGAATCTGTGGGAAACGGGACAACTGGTACAATTGGTAACTGAATGAAATGGGACAACTGGTACAATAGGGATAACTTAATGAATTAGGAGAAGTGGTATAATTGGGATAACTAAATGAAAGGGGACAACTGGTATAATTGGGATAACTGAATGAAATTGGACAACTGATACAATTGGGATAACTGAATGAGATATGTGGGACAACTGGTACAATTAAGAAAACTGAATGAAATGGGACAACTGGTACAATTAGGATAACTGAATGAGATATGTGGGACAACTGGTACAATTGGGAAAACTGAATGAAATGGGACAACTGGTACAATTGGGATAACTTAAAGAGATATGTGGGACAACTGGTACAATTGGTATAACTGTGAGTAAATTTTAATTTTCTGTAAATCGTAAAAGCCTTTTTTTTTTGTATTTATGAACAGAAGAGGATGAGCGGCCACACAAACATACATTTTGAGTATGGAGGATGTTATTTTAAGGAAGGAGAAGAGTTTAAATGGATTTCAAGGAGTTCCATCTATGCTATATCATTTAAAAAATCTATCGACGAGGTAACCTATTCGATGGTTGTAGATGGTATATGCAAGAAGATTGGGATAAACGATAGTACAAAGAAGCTCAAGTTAAGCTACATTCCATTGGTAGCTAAGCCACGCAATGAGTCACGTATTGTTGATGATGGTGATGTGTATGTCTATCTAACAACTCTGGACAAAGATGGACTTAGATCTGTGTTGAATGTGGAGATAATGGAAGATCAGAGTGATGAGCTAGCAACAGGGGATAATATGCTTGATATTGAGGAAGGGATGACTACTTACACACCGGTAGAAGCAGGGAAAGAACAGAATGAACTTCTATTGTGGTCATGGCAGAGACTGAGAAACAGATGGTGATCGATGATGTTGTTTCAAAACCGGATGATCATGCACATGTAGAGCCTGCAGAGTATATTATGGATGAGGATGATCACGTAGAGCCTGCAGGGCGAGTAGAACCAACTCAGCAGTTTGTTATTGAATGGGATGATGGTGCTGGTTTTGAGAAACATCAAGAATTTAGGTCGAAAGAGGCGTTGCGAGTATTGGTTGACAGAGCTTCGCATAAGGGATGTTTTGAGGTTAAAACTGTGAAGTCTGATCCTGGGCGACTCATTCTAAAATGCCGTCAAGCTGAACATGGTTGTTCATGGTATTTACATGCTGTAAGAATGAAGGATTCAACTTATTTCAGCCTTCGAGTTTACAGGAATAAGCATTGTTGCTCTCGGGTCCTTACCAGCACACTTGAGAATAAAAGAAAAGGCACTCCACAAGTAGTAGCAGATGTTTTGCGTGCTTCGTATCCAGGTGTAGTGGATACACCCGCTCCTAGAAATATAGTAAAGGTTGTTCAAACTGAAGCTCATGTGAATGTGTCGTACTCTACTGCATTGAGAGGGAAAAAACTCGCTATTAGTCAAGTGAGGGGTAGTCCGGCTGAGAGCTTTCAAAGATTGCATTCTTATTTGTACATGCTGAAGCTGGTGAACTCCGGTACAGTGACGAGCGTGGAAGTGGATGCTAATAATAAGTTCAAGTATCTTTTTGTGGCTTTGGGTCCCAGCATTGAAGGGTTTAGATCAATGAGAAAAGTCATAGTTGTGGATGCAACATTTCTTAAGAATTTTTATGGTGGTATGCTTGTATTTGCCACAGCTCAGGATCCTAATCATCACCATTATCCCATTGCAATGGGTGTAATCGATAGTGAGAAAGATGCTAGTTGGAGGTGGTTTTTAGAGATGCTCAAAACTGTTATACCAGATAATCCTGAGATTGTTTTTATGAGTGACAGACACACAAGCATAGCGAAGGCAGTGCAAGAGGTGTACCCTCAGTCTCAGCATGGATTTTGTGTTTGGCACCTGTCTCGGAATGTGAGGGTTAAAGCAGCCAATGGTTGGAAAGATTTGTGCTCAAAAAAATTCATTGACTGCGCTCACAAGTACACCGAAAGTGAGTTTCTAAGTGCATATACCGAATTTGGTAGAATGTTTCCCAAAGCTGCGGAGTACTTAGAGAATGGTCTTCCTCTCGAGAAATGGGCAAGGTGCTACTTCAAAGGAGACAAGTATAACTTGGACACAAGCAACGCCTGTGAATCTATGAACAGTGTCTTCAAGAAAGCTAGAAAGTATGCATTATTGCCGTTGATTGATGCGTATATTGAAAAAGTGTCTGAGTGGTTCAACAGGCATAGGGAAGACATTGCTGGTGCATCGTATTCGAAGAAATTGGTGCCATATGTGGAAAATCAGTTGCATATCCAATGTGCAATAGCGACAGCGTTAACTGTGACTGAGCTAAATGTTCCTGAGCTTGAGTACAGTGTGGTTGGACTTGATGGGAAGAGCTATCTGGTCAATTTGGTAACAAAAAGTTGTGAGTGTCGGATGTTTGATATAGATAAGATTCCATGTGTGCATGCAA